GTTGCCCTGATAAATATTGCTGTTTAAAAAGTTGAATAAGTATAAAAGGTCCCATATCCCCTGAGGAGAAATAGCACACTGTTAAATGGTTTGAGTGTAAGTTTGTCTTATTTGTGAGATTGCATCAACCTATTGTTCAAGGAAGCTGAACTATCGGGAGCTTACTGAGCAGTTGATGCTTGACTGCTCTGCTTCTGAAAAGTGAGTTGGATAATCTTAGCTGATCTTGAAATAGAGAAACTGGGTGCTGTAGAAGGATTCACACTCTTTCTAACTGTTTTCAACCTGTAAGTAGGGGTGTGCGATATATATCGTCTGCGATAATATCGTAATTGTTGTTTTAACGATGTGCGATTTGACATTATCGAGTATTTTGCAAAAACCATTCAAAACATCCCTACAGAGCGCACGCATACATTACGTGAAGTCTAGACTAGTGCGTGTGCGCATTTAGTGTGTTTTCTTTCACTGCATGATTCAGGCTATTAAAATGCATTTAAAAATATCGAGATATAATTTTTTGTCAATATCGCACACCCCTACCTGTAAGTGAGAAATACATTTTCACACCACATATGGCGATGTGCATGTTTTGCTGTGCAATGAAGATACATGAAGTGATACACCTCAGATTGTTTATGTCACCACAGTTATAAAGTGTATGTTCATGTTGTTGTAGTAAAAGTCATCCAGGGAGTGAAGCAAGGGCATGTGCAAATGGGAAAACACTGCTTCTGTTAATGAGAAAAGGTCTTGTGATGATGTTTCTTGAGAATATACATTCATTTGTGATAATATGGTATTTTTGCTCTCTTAACACAGTATTTGTCCCATTTACGTAATAAAAAAGTGCCCCTGGATACACTACACTGGATTAATGGTGATGATGACAAACTATAATAAGCACCGGCTGTGTCTCATCAAAATCTGCTAGTGATATTCTGTTTTAATGCCCTTCCTCTTGTTCACACCATATTTTTTTGGCTCCCAGGCTGCATGTGAGCTGCTGATATGAGGGGCGGGTGATGTTGATTGGACGGTAGGTGATTCTTTTGTCACTGTGAGCACAATCGTCCATGTGTTTGTATCTCCACGAGGTGGTCAGAGAACATTGACAAATATGTCTGCAGTTAGTCAGCCCACACTGTCTCTCCAGATCCTGGATCCAGATTTATTCTCTTTAAAATCTCTAAATTAAATGCCTCTCATTTTCTTACTGTGTTTTTTCCAGTAGTTCGTCTCGATAGACAACCTGTCAGCTATTAATGCCAAACCTAAATGCCAGTACACAGCAGTATTGCCAGGTGCGAATTGTTTCATGGCTGATGATCGTTCGTGCCCATTGTCGGTGAGTGGCATGTGCCAGGCGACTCATCGTACTGCTTGGCATGCAGGTGGCAGATGGGCTGTAATTAATGAGAACCTGTTAAACAGTGATATGTGATCCCACACGGTAATTAGAAAACAGCAGCATGGAGCCAGGCGGAGTAATTAGCCCGCCAGGGCCGGGGCTCTCAGGAGTCAACCCTCCTAAAGGAGATTTTAGTCAGACAGAGACAACTAACATGCAGTATGCTTATTTAGATAGTTGAATGATGTAACAATTTATTATATAGCTTTAATTGTAACACCTTACAATAGATCTTAGGAAGAACTTGGAAACAAAATGAAAACAAGGTTGTGAGTGATGGAGTTACCACCTTTACAATGGCACACACTATATAAAGGTCCCAGATCACATGTAATCTTCAAAACTCAACCTTTAAAACTGTTTTAAGAGGTTTTTGAGTACTGAAAGTGTGTGTGTGGATATAAATTAAACCTATTTTTATTACCTATTATTATTATTATTATTAAACTTTTTTAAAGTTTTAAACATTACCATTCAAATGTTTGGGGTAAAGTAAAAACAGTAATATTGTGAAATATTATTACAGTTTAAAATATCTGTTTTCTATTATAATATATTTTAAAATTAAATTTTAGGATTCAGGATTTCAGTATTCTTTGATTCTTTTGTCACTTTATAAATGTTTTCACTGTCACTTTTGATCAGTTTAGTGCATCATAGCTGAATAAAAGTATTAATTTCTTAAAAAATAAATGATTGACCCCAAACTGTTTTGAACTGTAGTACTTATAATATGTGGTAAAGTTAACATTAAAAATTGTAAAATTGTTAATTGAAAGCAAAATGGGTGCAGATTTCATGTTTATACAGTTTAGAAAGTTGCTGCTAAAACAAAAGCCCATACAACCTACAGAAAGCCTCTGAACCAATTGGAGAAGACAGCATGTTGCAATTAAAGTTAAAGATTGAATTTGAGTCGCAGTAGTAGATTTGGAGCGCAGCAACTGAATTTGTCTTTTGATATTGCTCTCTGCAAACTATAAAGCGTTTGCTGAAAGGGACCATTTCCCTCCTCTGTACCAGCAGAATAAATTAGAGATAGACAGGAATGGTGTGTTTCATTGGCTACGCTCAGCTTGCATTGAAAGGACAGCTGAAGAGTGGCCCATTAAGCTTTCCCTTATCACTCGTGTTATGAATAACATCTTTTCAATTTTTGCTTTACAAAATCGGACTCATTATTGCCTGCATTTTAACCTGGTCCTCAGCCATCATTTGTGCTGTAATGTGTTTTCTCTCTGTAAAGTGGAGATGTCATCTCTCTGCCTGAAGCTCGGGTTTGATTTCATATTTGTCATCCTGCACAAGAAAAACAATCTGACATGAATGTTGTTGTCAGTGATTATGAAAATCTGAGAAGTCTCTTTCCCACAGCAAGCAACAACAAATGTGATGCTCTGTTGAAATCACATTTTGATCATCCCGTCTTTGAGACATAGATTCACATCCTTTCCTCTCTACGCTCATAACCTTTCAGTGTCCTTTGGTGCACAAGACAGTACACAACCTAGTTCAGTCATTCAGCTGCAATGGATCACCACTGTCATCTCTACACTGTCCGCACTTTATTAAGTATGGAGGAAATCAAGCTTGAGGTTTCCTGTGTTCCTGAGCCAAGGACCCTCGCAGCCCCAGGATGCTTTTGAACCTCCTCGTACATCAGCCTCTTAATCTTCCAGTTTGCTGGTACTGAAAAACACTTATCACATTCATATCTCCCAGCGTCCCTCACACCAGCCCTCCCACATATCGTCAGTGTCAATCTGTGTCTGTGTGATAGAGTTGAAATGACTGTCCAACTTTCACTTTCAGCTCCTATCACTCTCTCTTTGCTGACATGTCTGGTATTGCAAGGTTAATGCCCCGTCAGGTAGAGGGTCTCATTAGTAAATCACAGTGTTGTGGAGGTAAGACCACTGTTGATATACGGCTCAAGCCCCGTTCACACTAGCAGCGACTTTTGTTGCTGCATGTCACCAGGGGCTGGCGATGAGGTTGCTAGTGGGCGTTCTCAATACTGGTTGCCTTGACAGCGAATCAGGTTTCTTGCCGCTAAGTACAAACATTTTGGAGGCAAAACTGTCACTTGCTATCGCTCGTGTCGCCGGAAATCGCCAGCTCTCCATTGAAATGCATGGGATTGTGTTGCTTTGCTGTTGCGTGTCGCTTGTAGTGTGAACGGGGCTTCAGTGTTTTAGCCTGTAATCTACCCGGGTTGGACCTGACAGGTTTAAACTCATTCTCTCTCACACAGACTTTGATTTAAAGTGGCCAGAGTGTTTAACGTATTTCATCCTTCAGGACTGAAATCCCAGAAGTGTCAGCTGAGAAATAAAGAGAATTGTTTTTAATAGCGAGTTGTGGGAGAGGAACTAGAAGTCGTGGTTCTGCAAGCGGTGCAAAAAGAGAAAAAATGGCCACGCTTGAGATCTATCAAGCTGCACGGTGCCGCATTGATAGGATGTGGGGCGGGGGAATTACGCAAAGATTGGTTTCTCTAGCTGACCGTATGTCACTGGCCATGTTTCAGCGTGGTCTACCTAGGAATTGTGGGAGGGGTAGTATATCAACACCCAGAGAAATATAGCCCAATGCTCTGAAGTGCACTTGTGTTATTCATCTATTCATGTGAGCTGTTAAGGGCCGTCTCTCACAGTAATGAGTCTGGGCTCAGATGGTGAGATCAACGTTAATTGTTTTGGTTGAAATCATTGGTTATTGAGTGCTTTAATTATTAGTCACATCTGTTCCTTTCACTTTCCCCATGGATGAATAGTTCGGATCAATCACATTCAAGCTTTCACACTCCTACGTCAAGTCCCATAAACCACAATTAGATTATTTTTGGTCTGATCAAACTAAACACACTCAGGTAATGATTATTCCATTCTGCACAATGGCTACATTTGAAAAACCAAGATATTGTAAAATGTCTTACAAATAAACTAGATTGCAAGATTACAAATCACATCGTCTAAACGTCCGAGAAGAACATGTAAAAGAGTGAGAGAGAGAGATCTTCTGTCTAGTGTACATGGAAAACCTGAAAAATATAAGGGAATTTTAAAGTTGCGAAAAAGTTGAACAGTAAAATCTTTAAAAGTGATGAAACATTCTATAGTGAATATCTCTTTTTGTAGTTGTGCTCAACACTAGCATGCATCAATATAATAATAATATTATTATTATTATTATTATTATTTTGTGTACATGATATGCTCTACTTTTTTTTATTTTTTTTATTAAATTTAAACTTTTATTTAGAAAGGATGCATTAAATTGTTCAAAAGTGACAGTAAGGACAATTATTTCAGACAAAAGACAATTAAGACAATTATAAAAGATTTCTATTTCAAATAAATGCTGTTAATGTTGAATGCTGGAAAAAATCACAGTTTCCAAAAAAAATATTAACATTCATGGACTTTTGTTGACCAAAATATGTGGGAACCCTGTATGTAGAATCCTTCTGCAAAGCCTGTTTAATGAGATGAAAAATTGCATCCTACTGTTTTTTTGTTTATTAGTAGTCTTAATATACCACCATAACCTCTGAAACTGACAGTCTGTTCCATTCCTTCCTCCACAGATAACTTTCTTCATGCTGTTGTCTGCTGTGTGTGTGATGCTGAACCTCGCAGGAGCCATCCTTTCCTGTCAGAATGCCCAGTTGGTCAACTCTCTGGAGGACTGTCAGCTGGTGAGAGAGTCATGTCCTCAAACACATGCCTGAAATCACTTCTTTGTTGTAAAGGAAACCTTAAAGGGGTTATATGATGTTGCTAAAAAGAACATTATTTTGTGTATTTGGTGTAATGAAATGTGTTTATGCGTAACATAATTACGGATTGTAATGACTTCTACTGTCTTTTTACGCGTTGCGTTGCATCGCGCCGCTCGCATCATATGACCCCTTTAAATAGATTCTTATGTCCAGAATAGCTTAGTGAAAATAGCTTAGTCCTAAACCTGTCTTTTTATCATCCACTCAAAACTAGCCTGTCACTAAAGAATCAATCCATTGAGCAATTATAGCTCCCAAGAGCATCATTCATTAACACAATGCCCTTGTCAAGATCCCAGTAAAATTAGCTCAACAGCCAGTTTCTAAGGCAGAGAGAATACGAATGTCTGCAGGGACCCATTTTTTATGTCCTGTAATATTCTGTTGGAGCAGAAGTAAATATTAACACCCACCACCTTTGTCCTCATAAAAATGGCTGCCTGATCGGCTGCCGAAGCTCTCAGGGGTTTTCTAGTAAAACAAAATAGAAAATTCATAATCATCAATTGTCCGGTGGTCAAGTGAATGGTAGTGGGTGAGCATCACAGTGGAAGTCAATTCACATACATTAGCCACAAACATAACACTTTGCCTTTGCTAGAGAGGAACAAATTCTTGTGATGTTATTAGAATATGAGAATACATAATGAATGCATCATGGACATTTATTCTGTGTTCTTACTGTGGTACAGTTGTCAATATGAAAGCTGTAAATTAAAGCTAAATCTAAACTAAAACTAAATCTAGATCTAAAATATGAAATCTAAAAAGCCAATTTCTCTTATTTTTATGGCAAATCATAATACCTCTAAATTGTTGTTTTTGATACTAAAGGATATCCTCAATGAATACCACAGTATGTTTGTGTGCTGCCCATTGTGTTCTTTGAATGAAGGCTTATAAAGGAGATTAATACAGCAGTCAGTCTTTGTTGTGCTTTCTATTGAGTTTGATTTATCAGCTCTACAGTGGGTCCAGTGCTGGCCCAGCGCAGCATAACAGCTCAGCACGGCTTCCCCCATTTCTGTTATCCAGAACTGGACACCCCTCTTCAGCTCTAAGACCATTTATCCGCCTGATGTGGAAGCAATAAATAACTAAATGATCAGATGATTTGTAGTATTCAGAATTAGTGAGCATACATGATACATGTAATGCAGTTTTTTTTTTTTATAAAGCACAGCACTAAATCCACCGTATCTGAAACAATGGAGTTTAGTTGAAGATCTTAGGGTTATTAATAATTTGGCATCCATATCTCTGCGTACATTAATCACCAAGAAATTCTTATTTGTTTGTTTCAAACACAATTAAATGCATGACTGGTTTTCAGTTTATGGATGGCGGCTTTAATTTTAGCTTCATTCTAGTATCAGTGATCTATGTTTGTGGCTTGCATTTTCAACACAAGCTTCTGTTTTAACATACATACAATAAAAGGATCACAAGTTTTTTTTAGCTGTTTTTTATTTGTAGAATTTCAACTGAACATATTCAAGCATTCAGGTTTTGTTGTAGACTTTTTTTTCTGACATCAGTATATATTTATTAAAACATGAAAATCCAGCTTAATGGCAAAGCTATTTTATATTTTGTGATTCAACAGTGAGTTAATGTCCATTCAGTTCAGGGGTGATTAGAAACTGAAAGTAACTGTCTTGTGTAGTGGGCAGTCAGTCGGAAGAACACACTCTGATGAAGAAAACAAAAAAAAAACAACCTTGCTTTATAAATAATGACCAGACATTTTTTAGATGAATGCACAGTGAAAGTGTTGATGGCTCTTTGAAATGGAACCTGAAAATGCTTTAATGATTCATCTCACAAAGGATTGAGCACACATGACATTATGTGGCATGAGCTCAATTGAATGTGTGATACAGATGAAATATTCAGGTGATTTCAATAATTTTGTCTACTGTGAAGAACTCACCGTGGTTGATATAAAATCATACATTCATATAATCAAATATTAATGATCACACTTTTTCTCCTAGTGTAATGAAAAGAAGCTTAAATTATGACATTTTTTGGCATGTGAAATCAGTGGGAAACGATCCAATTTTTATCCCAATTATATATATATATATATATATATATATATATATAATTATTTTCAGACACCAGTTGCTTGTCATACCACGACTGAGGTGCCCTTGAGCAAGGCACCGAACCCCCAACTGCTCCCCGGGCGCCGCAGCATAAAAATGGCTGCCCACTGCTCCGGGTGTGTGTTCACGGTGTGTGTGTGTTCACTGCTGTGTGTGTGCACTTAGGATGGGTTAAATGCAGAGCACTAATTACTAGTATGGGTAACCATACTTGGTCACATGTCACGTCACTTTTATATATATATATAATGACTTTTTTCCCTCTTTTCTTTTCTTTTCTTTTCTTTTCTTTGTCCAGCAAGCGGAAGCAAATGGATATTAGATATCACCAGGCATTTGAAGTTTCGTTCAATCTACAGTGGGGAGTTTTGTCTCACAAGATACTCATTTAAAAAATCAATAGGAATTAATAACATGGTGATCTTTCTATTGTCCTCTCCTTCACAATCATCCAGTAATTCTCCATAATTTAACAGATGCAAAACCCTGTCTTAATCACCTGTCGTCATGGATGCATGACATTGAGAACCCAATGGCAGTTCTCACCTGGTGCTGTTGTGCAAAAAACAGGTCAGGTAATTATCCTTCCCTTTGTCTACAGGTTTAGACCAGACCTAAAGACAGACCTCTGTCTCCATCAGTCTCTACTCCACCTAATTTAGGGATTAGCATGTTGGATTAAAGCATCTCTCCTCTCTGCCTACTACTGAACGCTCATCTCCTCAGAGACATGATCCCGCCATGACTGAAATACTAATGAAGCTGTTTCCCCCATTCAATTAACCCCTGCTTGCAAAGTTCACACATTGCTTTTGTGCAATATCGGTCAAATGGCGACTTAGTTTCAGTCTAACACAAAAAGCATTTATAATGCTGGACCACCATGTATGGGCTTTATTAAGATCTTTCTTAACAAACATGTGTGACTGGGCTAATGCTGTTCAGTTCAAGAATATGAGTCTTATTAATGTGGAAGACTTGTTAATTTCTCTTCCTTTCTCAATACATTAAGCTTCCACAAATATGCAGCTACTTTTTGTTGTGAAAAAAAAAATGTGGTAAAAGTGTACACATTGAAAAAGATTTAAATTTAATTAGTGTATTTTATAAATATGACCCTGCCTTCTAGCTGCCAGCTATACTTAATATTTGTCATTTATGATCACTTTTAACTATCAAGTTTAAATTCAATGCCATCAAGACGCAGAAGAATTTTTGGACATACCTCAAAATTAGTTTTTGTTGACAATTTCTCAAGGGGTAATATGATCCTGCTTCTTTCAGGCAGACAGGGAACTCTATTTGACATCTCCTGAACAAGTGTCATCATTGTAATGCGCTTCGGATGGAAGGAATTTAGTGTGTTACAATTGTGCCTGGCCTGCCCTGTTTTCGTGTTTGTTTTTACCTTGAGCTGTCACACAATTTATTGGCCATTTTATGCAGAAATAAACATTTCACTTGCATGAAGCTGAAACCAGTTTGTTTCTGTCCTTCTGCAGATTAAATTTGACAGTGACGGTGTGTGTGTCTGCTGTGAGCTCGAGCACATGAGATCCACCTGTAATAATCTGGGAGATACGCTTAAACTCAACCCGCTGAGGGACTGCAACACCATACGTCTCCGTCTGAAGGTATCATTGTGTGTGTGTGTGTGTGTGTGTGTGTGTGTACATGTAGGTGTCTGTAACATCCTGGTATCTGTATCTTTTAACAAAATAAATGAGATATGATGTTTGGAATTTATTTCAGAACATCATCAAAATAGCCACTTAATTTTCTTTACATTGTTTAATAGCCTCTTCTATCAATTTGATATTCCAGTATTAAGATATTTTTTAAATCATTCTAATTAGACTTTTTTTCTACTTTGCCTCAGTTAATGAATATTTGATTAGACAAGTAAATAAGAACAATTAAATACATTAGACGGGTATATGATCATTATTTTATCATTTTGATGATACACAATGTTTTTGAATTTGTATTAGATTTGAAAGCATGCATATATTGTTTTGAAAATCTCTAATCTTATGTAATTAACCAGATTAAAAACTCCCATTTTCGATAAAAAGTCTTTAAGAATAAATCAAATGGTAGTGTCACTAGAGACAACAGTGTAGTACCCTTCAACTGTATTCCTTAAAAGAAGAAGCTTATGTACACAGCATCTTCTTAGTGACAGTACTGTACATTACCGTTCAAAAGGTTGGGGTAAGTAAGAATTTTTTTTTTTTTTTAAAGAAGTCTCTTATGCATATCAGGGCTGCATTTATTTGCTAAGAATATGGTTAAAAATGTGAAATATTATTACAGTTTTAATAACTGTTTTCTATTTTAATATATTTCAAAATGTAATTTATTCCTGTGATGGGAAAGCAGAATTTTCAGCAGTAATTACTTCAGTCTACAGAGTCACGTGATCCTTCAGAAATCATTCTAATATGCTAATTTGGTGCTCAAGGAACATTTCTTATTAACATCAATGTTGAAAACAATTGTGCTGATTAATATTCAGGATTCAGGATAACTTTATGAATAGAAAATTCCAAAGAACAGAATTTATTATTTTGTAACATTATTCATGTCTTTACTGTCACAATTGATCAGTTTAATAAAATAAAATCTTTTCTGTCTGACTCCAAGTGTTTGAACGGTAGTGTACGCTGTATATTATTAAGGATTGTGTATACACAGTCTGAGTAAGAGAGAGTAGAAATTGAATGGATTGCACTGTGGAGTAATAAGAGATTTGAGTATGGAGTGCTGTAATTCGTGTTTATAGTAAAAATCTGCAGGTTCAGACCCAGGTAAGGCTGATGTAGAACTACAAGAGATCTTGAGACCTCAGTCTTCTCTGGCACCATTATACCTGTAGGCAAGCACTTAACCCCAAGTGACTCCAAGGGTATGGTCCCTGCAGGAATGGCATTGTAAGTCACCTTAGACAAAAAGTACCTGCTGTATGATGAGTAAGTTTTCAGTGTTATGAATATTGTAGTGTTCCTTTAGTAAATTAACATGGGTCGCTTTGCAATCCTACATTTTTTGATGCTATGCTTATTTCTGGGATTGTGTTATTCTTCTAGTATATACAGAGACATTTGAATGGTTTTGATTTGTACTCTTGATCTGCTATTTGGCTTTAAATGTTGTTTTTGAGCACCAAGAATTTTCACATTATATTTTTGAGGAATACATTTGTAAAATATCGCACTTATAGCCTGGAGACGTTTTTTTTTTTTGGCTCCGCTCCCATGCACATTTGCTGGGTTCCTCCAGGGATTTCTCCATTTTCAAACACTTTTTCGTTTGAATTTTAGAGAGTATTTGAACCATTTAGCAGAGCAAGAATTACACGCTATTCCCGAAAACGTCTGCCTTATTGGACACGTCTCTTCATGTTGCACTGTGGGTCTCTTCTCTAATATGCAGATGAGACTCAGTCATCATTAGTTATGCATCTTCAATTAGCGCTCGCCGCTGGTTCCCTTTCCAGTGTCTAAGCAATTCACTCATGCTAGCCATGATCTCAGCGCATTTGGCAGCTTTTGAAACGGGTTGTGTTAAAGTGAGGCTTCCACAAATTTACTTGTACAAAGCAATTGCCACTCTTTATGAAATCAAGACAAACACTTGCTTGTAAATGCTTGCTTATAAATGCTTCTTTACATGTTTTCATCATTTCAAACTTAGAAAAACACACAGTAAAATCTTCTTTCTCTGTACAGACTTTGTATTTGTGAGTCTTTGTGTGTTTGTGACATTATAAATGTAATGTCTCAGTTCAGATGATTTGTATTTTATTAAGTGTGCTGATTAATTCTACAGTGTAAATTACAGTGAAACTATCTTTACCTTGCTGAGAATGAAAATAGCTGGTTACACACCATTTCTGAATTGAAAGTAAAAAGAGATTTATATCAGCGTTATTTTAGTATCATTTAAATACTATTATAACATTTAAATTAATTATATTAATAGTTTCAATTTAGCATTAATAATTTTGTTGTGCTTTTGTCATTTTTATTATGTTGTTGTTGTTGTTTTTAATATAATATTTCTTTTGTCATTTTTATTATTTTGTTGTTGTTGTTTTTTAATATTTCTATTAAGCCTTATTTTTGTTTTACATTTAATTTGAGTTATTTTAGTTCTTCAACTGAAACGTATTTATTTCAGTTAGTTGCCAAGGAACATTTTTTTTTTGTTTAAGTTAGTTTTTCATCTAATATTTATATTTTGTTTTATTGTATCTTTATTTCAATTACTGAAAACCATTTTTAATAGTTTTAGTTTTAATCAACAATAACAACAGTGGACTATATAAATGAATTCCCTCAGCCAGCCTCACACATTGCCGAAATATAAAAGATTCACAAACAAAAAGAGAGGCAAACCCTTAATATTTGACTGTTGATGATTTACAGGTGCATCTCAATAAATTAGAATGTCGTGGAAAAGTTCATTTATTTCGGTAGCACTTACTCAGATGGAGTTATGAAGCATCAATAAGATTTACATTTTAATGCTCTTATTGATGTCTGAAGGTTTTATGTCTTTTCATGGCCAGTCAGGTCAACTGAGATGCCTATAAAGACCATAGCCATAAGTAATGTTATGACTCATTGGCATATCATACCATGTGGCTCCCTCATCGTAAGGGCCATTATATCCCACTGGTGTATGTCATAATGACACACTCGTTTTCCTTCAGGACTCATTTGAGGTATAATACCTTAAGGCATTTGTCAGTGACATGTCAGTACTATCATGTCAGTTTGCAGTCCAGCAACCACTCAGATAACTGGTTTAGACCCTCATCAACATTAAGTGAATGCAAGAAATGGTTCCATGTCCCATCAACTTTAAGAACTGAATGAATGTATTATCAGAATGAAGGTGGTAAGGTACAGGCATGCACTTTCATCACAGTTTTTTTGTTCTGCTTGTCGTCAGGGAGACAAGTGTTAGCACTGCTGGCTCAAAATGAGAAGAGCGGGTGTTTCTCAGTGGAGCTGACCTAGTACCTCTGTTAGATTTACTGGAACACAACCCCATGGGCTAGTTCTGCATCCTATAGATTTAGTCCAGTCATAACATTAGATGTTGTCTAGGAGGTGCATAGGCATTGTCTTGATCTGTTTGATCGCCACATTTCACCACTACTGTTGAATCTACAGCACAACAACAGAAATCATATTTTACCCAGTGTGAGTTTAATGTCTGAATAAAATAAAGGCTAAAAAACACATCTCTCTGTTAAGAAGAACTCGCAAGCTGCATACAAAAACAAATGTACGGGCATAACAAGTGTAGTTCAATTGATGAGCAAATGCCTCTTCTTTTAATGAATTGTTCAAAATGACTTTGAATAAGTCTGATTAATCTTTCACTTAATATACTCACTGAATCAGTCAGAGTAATTACTGAATCAACATCTGCACTTACTGAACTGCAAGTTATCATTACTTTATCATAAGTGATGTCTGTTTTGAAATGAAGCAAGTTTTGTGTACTGGTGTAGTGTGTCATTAAACATTGTTTTTAAAATGAATAATATATTGATATATAATTTAAAACATTTTAAAAATGGATATAAAATTGTAAAATTAAACCAAAAAACAAAATGCATTAGAGTGAGTCTCTTCTTTCCAGAGCTTCTTTGTGTGCATTTGTATAAACACATCCTCTGCCCCCAAAGAGCGGGTCTTGGCCTTTTCTGGGAGTTAGATGATTGTACAGTCATGTAGAAGTGGTTAGGCCTGTCCGGTCCTCTTAGGATGGGCTCCTTTCACCTAAAGGGCTTGTGCACATTTAAGAATTCAGCATTTTCCTTGAGGACATCACTGGGTCACATACACTCCGTCTTGTCACAACGAGAGATCAGACAGGGCTCGGATAGCAGGTGTGTGTGATGGGCTGTCGTATATACTGAATGTAAGTAACATTTTTATGGAGGCAGATCTACCACCCAGCTCAGTCTGGTAGAATTTCGAACAGTGCCAGTGACTTCCTTTGGTTTTTCTTTCAGTGATCTCTTTCTTCTAATGACTCACTATTTACACTGGATACATGCTGAATTCTGAAATTGTAAATTCTGTCTTTGCCTTCCTCATTTGCTCCTGCTTAGGTTAATGTGTTATGCTATATGGTATATGTTATGGTTTGATATTCTTAAAATCCCAAGATTCATTTACTTTTACTCTATACCTGTGTTTTCTTGCAATACTTCTTGCAATTCCTCGTGGACTGCACACAGTACCGAATCACAAGTAGTGAAGTCTGATTCATGAACAAATTACTTTTATTTTATTTTCAGTATATATTATATATGGGTAGATGTATACATGTTGTATTTCGTGGGAGTTTATAAGTAAAGTTTTCTTAAGGTTATATACATTTTTATTACATTTTCACACATTCTTATCGATCTAAAACCTTCGTTTTAGTTGTGTTTATTACATATCTTATATTAATGGCAGTTGAACTGCATAGTTTGGGCATTGTTCATTTTTAAAATTAATAAGTTTTTACCAAATTAGAAAGTTCCTGTAAAATTTACATCAAAAGCATTGAAACAATAGACAATGTAAATGAAATATACTGAATGGAATCAGATCAACTGAATCAGGATCTAATCAAACTGAATCAGAATGTGGGAATGGAATCTAATAGACTTAGTCGTTGAATGGGAATGGATTTTTAAGGCTGCACACGGAATTTCCACATTGCAACTTTTAGTTCGGCTTTTTTGTGCTTTTGCAGAACGATAATGCCATGCAAAAGTCCCACTTTGGTGACACCATTATCCCTTTTAAACCATTATGTCATAGCCACTCTCTCTCTTCCACACATTTGTTCGTTCCTATCTGCCGTTTTACCGCGGCTTTCTCATTCTGACAAACAGAACAATAAATGTTCATGCCAGGCTGAGGTTTTTGCAGCAAAACAATTGCCACTCTCGTTTATTTTCTGTCTTTCTCTCACTCTCCTTCTGTCCCTCTGTGTCTCTTGCTCTTTGATTCACACCTTCTTGTCCTCTCTCTTCTTATCCCTGTCTCTCCATTTCTCTCTCTGTCTCCCAGGAGCTGCTTTTCAGTGTGTGTGCACTGAATGTTATCTCCACCATTGTGTGTGCTCTGGCCACGGCTGTGTGCTGTATGCAAATGGTTTCTACTGATTTACTACAGATGGTAAGTGTGATCCATACCGCAATGTGTGTGCATCTTTCTGAGTGTGTTAATGCACATTACATTTTCCCATTACATCATGGAGAAAATATCAGACAATCAAGACAAGTGAAAATGTAAAAGTTTAATTAGCGAAATGCCAGAAAAATTGTCTATAATATATACACATAACCATCGACAGAATAGGCAGTTTAATCAGATTTCATTAGTGCATCTTATATTGACCTAAAAAATGTTTTTCAATAAGTACAATTCAGAGCAATATGAACAAATCATGAAATATATCCTGTGACTTAGTCTTAAGACACTTTCCCAAGAGTAACCTGATTTCCTTTTGGATCAAAGAAATAATCAAGTCTAGAAACAAATGCTGATTTTTTGGATCTTCCTATCCTTTTTTTTTTTTTTGGCTCTCCAGCAGGGGTCATAACAGAGTGGTCTTGGACTTTGTAAAATTAGTTGGCTTTATTTAAAGTAAGGAAACCCATTGCTTTCATAAAATGACAGTAAATAAGCTTAACTCTTAATTGAAAAATATTTGTCGGGGTATATCTGAATGTACAAAGACTTCAGTTCCAAGTTATTTGAATGTACATTTTCACTAGTTTACAGGATAGTTCACCTAAAAATGAAAATTTTCTGACCCTCATGTCATTCCAAACCTGTATGAATTTCTTTTTGCTGCAGAACACAAAACAAGATATTTTGAAGAATGTTGCCAGCCAGACAGTTTCGGTTCCCATTGACTTCCATTGTACTTTTATCCATATAATGGAAGTCATGGAAACAAAACTGTTAGGCTACCAACATTCTTCAAAATATCTTGTTTTGTGTTCCACAGGCGAAAGAATGTCATACAGGATTGGAACAACATGCGGGTGAGTAAGTGATGACAAAAATTATTTATTTAATATTTACATATTTGGGTGGCCTTTAAAGGCAGAGTAAGTGATTTCTGGTAGCCAATGTTGATATTTGAAATCACCAAAACAAACAGGCCCTACCCCAAAAGGGTCTTGCCTCTATTCTGATAGCTCCGCTTATTGCTGACTGGCTACAAGTTTGTTTTGCGATTCGGCCCGAATCAGTTTTCTAAAGTGTTTTTGAAAAATCACATACCCTGCCTTTAATTATACTTAAATTTTTTCATTTGTAGGACAATGATTGTTTACTCTTCCTTATGTTATGGGTTTCCTCACTAAGTAATTCAATTAAAGTTTTATAAAATTTTTCATTGTTCTGATACCTAATGTATCAACCTGGATATGACATCACACAAAATTCAAGGTTTATGGTTACCATTGCAGGCACATTTGTCACGCATGATTAATTTATTACATTTATTTTGCATCCAAAGAGTTGTATTCAGCTCTTCTCTTATGCAGAATAAAACAGGTTTCTCAAAGCCACTGATGCTATGACAAGAGTCTTCATCTCATTTGGTTGTACTTCAAGCAGATTTGTCAGAAGTACTATTAATTTCTTAAGTGTAAGATTACATGAGGATGAGACCACAGACGTTACAATGCTCAGTGGGAGAGAACCGTGGATCTGTCATCGCTCCCTTTTAGTGGATCTGTCTTTTTCAGCCAGCCTGTTTTATGTGAGAGAAAATAAACTTGTGGGACATAAAGTTTTAACATTCTTTAAGAGTGGGCTTTGTGTGGTTTATGGGTGCTGCAGTAAATTGCACAGCCTCATGGATGGCTGCAGCAGAGGCATGGGCACAGGGAAATGAATTGAGATGAGTTATATTAGCATGGCTGCGGCTCTGTGAATCGCTGGAGCAGTTGTGGGATTAGTTTGGACTCGGGGCACAGAGTGGCAAAGCGAGAAATCATTGCTGTTACCAGCTGCACAGTCCATGCACAAAGACAACAGAGGCCCGAGGGCAGGGATGAGGTGAAGCACTGCATGGAGCTTTTCCCTTTGCAACTGTATTAAGTGATTTCACCACAACCTGTTCATTTGTATCTTTATACTCTCTGTATATATTGTTATTTTGAATCATGATTTTGGCTTTGTGATGTAATGCCTTTATGTTGCTAGCTGTACTTATCAGTCATTTACGGTCATTGCCTTTCTTAATGATCTTTAAGGATCAGATTGATCTATTCAAGGATGATTTCAGTGCCTTCTGATTGATGAGCCTTCACGTATTCTAAGAAGTCATCAACAGGAAAGTGCATTGTCATCATAAAAACGTTCTGAACCTATCATTGAACTTGCAAGAATGGCACAAAATGAGTTACTCTATCCATCTGAACTTTTCACCGGCTGATTCATGGATAGAACTTTAAAAGCTATTTTAGAGGGATAGTTCACCCATAAAGGAAAATGCTGTCATCATTTACTCACACTCATGTCGTCCCAAATTGTAAGATTTTTTTCTTCTTCTGTGGAACATAAAGATATTTTGAGAAATGCCTTTTTTGTTCATACAGTGGAAGTGAATGATCACATTCTTCAAAATATCTTTTGTGTTCTGAAAGGGAGAGTAAATGATGACATAATTTTCATTTGTGGGTAAACTATCCCTTTAACCATTCACACAATGATATCTCATGAAAATCACCATGGATGACAACCTTTGACCCTTCCTCATCATTCTATATGGCTCTTTTCTTAATGCCATATGTTTTTCTATTTCTTATATTATAACCTAAATTCTACATGGCTGATGAAAATGATTATGACCACTATGTAACTCTCTCAATACATCAAAAATAGAAGGAAAAAGAAGATTTGGAATGATTATATTCTTTGCTTTGAAGTAAAATCCTTCTTTAAATTTAATAATTCATGCATCAGAGGGTTAAATTGCATAAAATGAAACTCTTTAGCCAAAGGGTCTCAGCAGGGTGAGAAAGGGCCCTAACTATCCTCTCTGTTCTCATATCCTTGCAAAATATCCAGACCTACTTATGTCTTTTTTTTATTTTTTATATATATTATAACCCAACTGACATCCTACTTTTAGTCTTCATTGTTTTGGACACAGTGGTTTTCATAGTTTGCCTTATTTGAACATAATGACAATTATCTGACTTCAAAGAACAGTATAATACGGTGAATGTTTCATTAGAGGGTCATCAAATAGCCTACAATACCATTCAAATGTTTGGGGTCAGTAGGGTTTTTTTTTATTAGTAATACTTTAGCAAGGACACATTTAATTGATCAAGAGTAACAGTAAAAAACAATCTTTTTCAAATAAATGCTGTTCTTTTGAACTTTCTATTCATTAAAGAATCCTGAAAAAATGTGATCCTGTCCTGAAAATCACAGATTGCACAAAAAAATATTAAGTAACACAACTGTTCTCAACATTGATAATAATAAGAAATATTTCTTGAACGCCAAATCAGCAAATTAGAATTATTTCTAAAGGATCATGTGACAGTGAAGACTGGAGTAATGGCTACTAAAAATCAGCTTGGCATCACATGAATCAATTACATTTTAAAATATATTAAAATAGAATACAGTTATTTAAAATTATAATATTTCATAATATTACTGTATTTACTGTATTTTTGATTGAATAAAATGCATCTTGGTGAGTATAAGAGACTTCTTTCAAAAATAAATTAATAAAATAAAATAAACAAGTCTTACTGACCCTACACTTTTGAACAGTTGTGTATGTTCTATTTTTTTTTTAAACTCACTTTTTTAATCTTTTTCATCAGTTCATGCCACACAGGGCACGTGCCTTGAGCGCGGACTGTATGACCCCTCATGGTACCATCTTACACCAGACGCTGGATTTTGACGAGTTCATCCCACCCATCCCCCCTCCTCCCTACTACCCCCCAGAGTACACCTGCACACCTGTGATGGAGGGCCAGAGGTAAACCCGCACATACAGACACACAGCTCACGTCCCAGCTGACAGGAAATGACATAATATTTGCGCATTATCTGAGAAACGGTTTGATCCCAGATTGCTTGGCTGCAAATCCTGTGCTCTGAGAAAGAGGTTTGTGCATTTGTGAATAGATTGATTCACAGAGATTTGTGAAATTGCCCCATGGAATGATTATGAAAAACATCCATTCTTTTTTTTTTTTTTAAATTGGACCTATCCACAATCATGTTGTGTAAGTGCAGGTCTTAATGCAAACTGCTCTGAGAATCCATATTATGGAACATGTCCATGGCCTGGTGTAAATCCACAATTGATTTCTCTGTCTCGCACTGTGAGACACTCTACCCACCATCCCGTCATAAAAAACGTGCTGATGAGGCTGTTTAGCCCGCGGCCACACTAATGTGTCAACAAAGCAGTAAATACATTGAGAGCAGAGCAGCCCAACAAGAATGCTTCAAAGCACAATCAGTGTCAGGATGTGGTAATACACAAGAAACAACTGAAAAAAAAACACAGATTCCTCCCCTCCTATATGACAGAGGGAGTCTGGTTAATTAAAAGAATGGGATATATAACTCGCTGTGATAAAGAGGAAATGGTTTCATTTTCCACTGTTCCTAAATCATCCCCACCAATATAATACAGCCAAATGTGTTGAAACATTGATTCAGTGTTGTAATCATGTTTTACTATCATCTCTCTCCATTAGAGGGTTGCATCTGGACTTTCCACATTCTCCCTTCAGTGCTATTTATGGGGTGCCTATAAACAGCCCCGGGGCTCTATATCCATCTGAGTTGCCACCACCCTATGAATCTGTCGTGGGACAGACACCTGCCAGCCAGGTGACACCTTTTCTACATACTACTGTAATATTGCATGATGATTTGGCTATGTAGTGTCTAGTATTAAGTTGCATGACTATTTGTTTTAATTTAACACAATATCAGATGATTTTTTTTGAAATGCCTAAAGTGAGCATGTTTCAGGAAAAGAAAGAGTCATTTTGGGTGGCTACAATTTTGATGTTCAATTTTGAGTCATTTAACAAGAGACACACCACATAGCCCCCAAAATAATCCAAATGAATTTAAATTCAGAAATTAAAACATGCCCATCATGAATGAGGTGTATTTGAGTCTTTGTATGTGTATGCATTTGATGTATTTTTGAATAGATGAGCATCACATCATTGATCCTTTTCCTGTTTTATTATAGTTCCTGGTTTCTTATAGATCGTACTAGTTTGCAGGTATTTCAGTCTTAAAGTAATGCAGACTCTATGTTTTAGCTTAACACCAATTCAGCAATATTCCTCCTCTTCAGTTACACTCATTTGTCTGTGTAAAGCTCGACAGTCAAAAGGTCCTTCGGTGCACTTGAGGGGCTGAAAGAAATTAATACAAGTGCCTTTGTATAATGGATTATAATTTTCTCTGGAACACATCAGCAATATAGGCAGGATTTCATTCCATTTAAAAGAATTGGGCTTTCTTACAGTGAGAGCAGGGCCTGTTTTTGAACAATGATTTTCCATCAAATTTCTCTTCTTCACCCGATGAAAGGGAACAAGAGTTCTCCTCTCTGCAAAGAGATGCACAAAGAACCACCCAAACCTTTCAAATCCAGCGACTGAGCCCGTGATTATGTTTTGTGTGTTTTGAAGTTTTGTTTGCTACCTAAAAGAGTCTGTGATTAAAAAGGGATAAAATACCAAGAGGTTTCCTTGATTTTAGACCTTTCTCATGTGAAGCTATTGATAACCATCTGCGAACAAAGCACCAGGGGCATTTCAATCAGTGGAGCCATTTCTTACCTGAACAAGCCTGAGAAGCTTTGAAAACAGCAATACTAGCAAGAGACAGGAAGACATATTTTTAAATTGATATAGTCAGCTTTATTTATAGCTACTGATTGTAACCTGCAGCTTATTTTCCACATTTTTATAAAGTCCCTCTGTGCTGTGAAATAAGCTCTCTCTATATAGGATGAATACTCTGTAGGTTATGTGTTTTGGATCAATCATGTTATAAAGATTTTTTTTTTTTTATGGAAACCACACAGTGAGCAGTCATAATAATGCAGACGTTTGGAGCGCAAATGTGATCTTAGAGAGCCCCCTGCAGGTCACAAGATGGCACAGTTGTTTTAAAGCACTGTGTGATGCCAGATGTCAGACTGCAGCAGACTCCTCAGTGCCAGATGTTCTGATGTCTGATTCTCCGCCTTTTGCAGTTGCTTGTTATCATCCTCAGGTGTAAGACCGTTTTCGATCACCATCCTCTCCGGAAGGTTACACTCAAAAGCCTTTGAGTTCTAAACACGTTATTGATCGGCTTGTTAGAAATGTAATTAAAATGTTTTTTTCTCCCATCCAGATCACCACCAGTCTTGAGCAACAGGTCACAGAGTCCAGTCTGTGTGAAAGGAACACCACAGCTGGCCTTAGCACTCAGGGTGAGGATGCTGCAAGCATATTTATTAACAAACACAAAGTCAGAAGTCTTCGCTTTCTTTGGTGTATATATGTGGGCTGTTTAGTGTGAAAGACTTTTTCTAATCTTACATTCCTTCCACATTAGCATAATGCATCTGTAATGTTTGATGGAATAATAGTTCTCAATTTGCTTTGCTTCAGGACCTAGATTTTGCTTTGGAAAAACATTTTACTCAAGGACCCATATTACCCTTCTAAAGTTTGGGGTCAGTAAGATGTTTCTTTAAAAGAAGTATCTTATGCCCACCAAGACATTTGAAAAAACATAATATTACAATTTATTATTACAATTTAAATTAAGTTTTCTATTGTAATATACTGTATTTTAAAATGTAATTTATTCCTGTGATGGCAAAGCTGAATTTTCAGCAGCCATTACTCCAGTCTTCAGCGTCAGACTTAAGGTACGGTCACATTTGCCAGTGCTTGGTGAAATTTTGTGAGTGAAATCCAGTCATTCTAGTAGGAATCTGCATGATCAGCATGTTTCACATGAGGGCAAAAAAGTAAATCACACAGATTTTGCTCAAGTTGGTCACTGACCAACAGAAAGTTGCTTGGTTTGAAACGGACTTCTGTGTGAGCTGTGCTTTATACTTATCTATTGAATAATGCAAACGGTATTGACTAATGTGACCACATCTTTGGACTGACTAGGAAAACTGACAATTTTGTAAATGTACAAACTGCAACACAAGCAAACACAAGATTCACAAGCCTAAAAAATGAATTCCTATTTAAATTCAATGAATATTCCACAATATTACTGTATTTTTGATCAAATAAATGCATCTTTGGTGAGCATAGGAAGCTTCTTTCAAAAGCATTAAAAATCTGACGAACCTTAAACTTTTGAGCGGTACTGTGGTTGTATACAAATTATATACATTATATTATACAAGTACAGACACTCATTTAACAGCCTTCAGTCATTGTCTGTATGTATATAACGATAATATGGTCTCTGTTCCCTTAGCCTCTGTTGATAGTGCTTCCCTTATGGTGTCTGAGACTGCAGACATCCCTGATCACAGCTGTTCCTCAGAAGACATGTGTTCTCTAGAAGTACAAGACTCCGATTCCTCTCCTTATGGCACTTTGCGCATTGTACCTACTGACGGTAGCTGCACAAGTCTGGATCACAGCACCCACTCTTCCCTGAGACGGCAGACCCCTGCTCGACTGGACCACAGCGAGTCTTCTGTCACGCAGGATTCGAAGCTCCACTTTTCCCAGTCGTCTCCCGATGCTGTTAACGTGCCTGAGAAGGAGGAGATTACAGGCGTTAAACCCATGTCTTGCACACAGCACAGAGAACGAACCAATAAGAAGCTTACCCTACTTTTCCCTCCAAGCACACCATCACAATGTGCTTCCAACTCAGCAGTGACCTCCACTGCCGCCGCAGCTTCTGCTCTGACCCCCTCACCCACCGCTCAACTGCGGGGAACCCGGCTGTGCTTCAGCGTCTGGTCCCCATCATCTTCTTCCTCACAGCCCCATGCTACCTCTGCCCTCAGCAACTCCAGTCAACGTGAGCGGCCCCACACACTCCGAGCCACCAAAGGGTATCGGAAGCTGGCGAGGATTGTGCGTTCCACTAGTGAACCCATATCCTGTACTTCCATATCTAGAAGTACGTGAGTTCTTTTTCTCGCTGTGGATCTATAGGGTTTTTCACACTGAACTGTTAACCATTCATTCATTCTAAACCTTAGCTTAACAGAATCCTAGCTTAGCTTTTTTCATGTTTCACACTGTACATTTGTAAAAACCCAAGCTAATGCTCTTATTTGCAGGGTCAATATTATTGATTGGACAAATACAATACATGACCTGTTTAAATAGCAGTTTGTCTCACTCTTGCGCATCAGTTGGGCTTATATGGATTTATTAAATTGATCAAAAGTGAAAGACATTTATATTACAAAATATTTCTATTTGAAATAAATGCTGTACTTTTGAACTTTTCTGAACTATTCATCAAAGAATCCTAAAAAAGTAACAGTTTCCACAAGAATATTAAGCAGCACAACTGTTTTCAATATTAATAATAAGAAGAAATGTTTCTTGAGAACCACATTTTTGTATTTTAAAATTATTTCTGAATGATCATGTGACCCTGAAGCCTGGAGTAATAGCTGCTAAAAAAAAACAGCTTTGCCATCACAGGAATAAAAGTAGGCTAGTTATTTTAAATTATAATATTTCACAATATTACTGTTTTTACTGTATTTTGGATTAAAAAAAAATTTTTTTTTGAATATCAGTGTATTCCTGACTGTATTTTGTCCTATATTTATTTTTTGGACCACAATGGTACTCATAATTTTTTACCTCAATTGATTTGTTCTGTCAGTGTTTGACATTTAGATTTTTCCTTCAAATGCTGAAACAAAATGCAATGCCTAAAAGTTTCTGTGACTGAAGAAGTACATAAATATTTAATGAGGCAAGTGCTATTCAGTTTATTATTGGTTAGACTGGCCATTACATTCTAACACTATATAGTTTCACATTGTACACCTTTTGCAAAGCAGGCTTAATGACACAAAAGTAGGACTGAAGTTTCTTCAGTGCATGCTTTCATAACTCAGGGTTAAAATCAGTGCAAACTCAGTTTCAAAACTACAAATGGGAAATTTTAGTTTATCTGGGGTTTAAAAAGACAATAAACCGGGTTAAGCTCATTATGAAAACCACATATGTGTAACTTGTTGAGTTTATACAATCATTGCTTTGTTGTAGGTAGAGGAAAAATATATGATCTTTGCACATCATATCATACAGCATCATATTAAGTCATTAATAATCCATGAGCAATCTGGAAAACTGAGCATGTGATTTCACTTGCAGGTGACCCTTGTGCTCCTGCTTCTAAACATCCACCTGAGGACTCCCCACAGACTCCCTGTGATCAAGGTTGCACCTTATTTCTGTTTTCCCTGTAACACAGTATTCAAAAGATACAGTTATTCATTCTCAAGTAAAATTATGGTTATTAGAATAAACCTACTAATGCATTGCTTTGAACAGCATGTATGGAGCTCTCTGAGAGCACCCGACACCCTTCTGCCAAACAAAGCAGCCGAGGGGGCAAGAAGCAGAAGGACGGTGGAAATGTGGACATCCAACTCAAACCTCACATCCCTCACTCAATGTCTACAGAACGGCCACAGTCTCTCGCAGACCTCAAAACTTACAAAGACACCAAAGTGCTGGTGGCCAAGTTCCTGGAACACTCGAGCTGCAGTCTACCTCTGGAGGTCCAGCAGGTGGTCAACAGCATTAAATGTGTTATTAAATCTGATGAGAAACACATGGAGGAGGCCATTTTCAGTGCAAGTATAATTGATCAGGTGAATTTGGCATATTTTTGTGTATAATACATAATGCTTACCATATGACCTGAAATGAATACATTTACAGTTTTACTGTATGCTTTAATGGTTGAAAGTGAAATATCACAACTGAATTACGTTGGGGATGTTTGTTTTTCTCATATCCTTCACACAGTTGATGACACAGTCACAGAAGATCACGGGCAGCCAGAGGAAGCATGCTCATGAAGACCTGCATTTACAGAGCTGTGGAGCTTTGAGTTCCCCGTCTTCATCCTTGCGCCGTCCACCCAGAGGATCCAGTCAGACAGATGTCCCTGCTACCCTGGATCATCAGCCTCCACGCCAGCCTCAAAGCCACATCAGTGTATGCAGAGAAACTACACTTTGACCCTCCAGACTACAAACACTCTTTTCCTCATAATCCTCTGAATATGTGCCAAGGACAAGTCCCAACTCTCATCAGCAGAAAACTGTAGCTCTTGGAAAAACAAAAAAACAGTTATTATAGAGTTGATGCTCTCTCGTATGTAAAAAAAATTATAAGAAAAGAAAAGAAAAATAAAGAAAGACAGAGTGTTTACCTGCAGGGGTATATATTTTTATTTTATTGTCAGAAAAAAGTAAAATATTTGTTAAAGTGAATTTGCTACTGTGCTAAATAGGAGAGTGGGTCTGTAATAGACCATAGAAGATGACAACATGGATTTACCTCTTCATGAAACCTTTTTCTTTCTTTTTTTTTAAATGTAATACACAGCTTCTGCAAACGTTATGTGAATTATTGGACATACTTGGTCATTGTGTGCCACTGCAGGACAGAGACCTTTATGAAGCTGGATTATTCAACTTACCTCAGTGTGTAATTATTTTCTGTATTGCAAAATAAAAATGCGTCTGTTCCTATTTTTTTTTATAGACTACTATTTTAAGACCCTCAAGTCATTGTTTGTTTGATTGAGTTACGTAAGTGCAACTCTAACAGGGTCTTGACTCTTGAGTGTTTGTGTGTGCTTAGACTTTTTGTAATGGGCCCCAAACAAAGAGCAGACTTATTTCAGGTATATCTTGCTGTGATTATGCAGTGAAAATCCTTGTTTTTGGACTAGGCTCAGTCTGTGTATTTGCTCTGCTCAAAGTTTTGGTAAACCAGACAGGGAGGCTGATTATTTGTCACACTAGATGGCAACTACTTGTTTAAATCATTTGAAGATACATTTACTGTGGCTCTTACACTTTATAGCCTTAACTAACTGATATTTTCAATCAACCTCAGGCATTAAATGAATGTAATATATATATATATATATATAAAAGACATAATGAGCAACATCCCGGAATAGGTAGGGCTCCCATAAATGCGACGTTTTGGCTAATGATGAGAATGTTCATTCTAGTGCCATATACCTTCTCTTATTATATGAGCGTCCAATGAAAATTGAACGACAGAAGCAGTTACGCCCACAGCCAATTAGATTCGTCTAAAGTGTACTATTGTGTTCACGGATTGGTTGTTGTAGCTGTCAATCACGCTCCTCTGTTCACCTTACACGCTGGACGACATTTTTCTGGTTTTTATCGAGACATCCAACCTGGCAGTTAGATGATATACGAGATAAGGACACGATTACGAAATCTGATATTTTGCTGACGCGTTTACTTATATGTATATATACAAATACACGGTGTCTGCGCATGCACTCTGCAGGACCGAGAACAGAGGAGGAAGGCTGGAGCTGAGTTTCAGAACAAGCGAACTCTAAAGCTAGCGGTGTATGTACAGTCTATTCTGCATGGAAATGCATTTAGAGACGCGCTAAACGCATCATTCAGTTTGTTTATACGGTGTTGTTTTATATCAGGTGCATATTGTTGTGCATGTGCAGAATACTGTAAATCAGGCCTTGCTAGCGGTGTCAGATGTAACGCTAATAGGCTATTAGTGCTTTTTTGCTAATGGTAATAGATTTGTTTACATGCCCAATTTCGGGTTGGCCTTGTGTGTTTGTCATTGTGTGTTTAAAAGAAATCGGTATCGCGTTGTTGAACTGAAGCTAACGCACGGCTGTTGCCCCACCAGATTCACGCATGCTAAGTTACTTTAGCGAGGTTATAGCTAACATACAGCGAACGGTGCATTCAGAAGTGTATTTATCACACGAGCATGACGGCAGAGGTGACCGTAACCGAATAAAAATGCGTTATCAAGTGCTGTAGGATCAGGCGGAGAACGGAAAGCTCATGCCTGTGCGCCGTTAGCGCGCTTCAGCTCTCATAGGCCACGTCGCCTGTGTGTGTCGGTGTGTTTGATCTACTGACAGTGGCGTCGCATGAATGCAAACAAGGAAAAGCTTGAAGTCGCCAACTGTGCGGAAGGGATCCGGTGGAGTCGTCAAGTAGTTGTGTGACCAACTTCAGGACACTTCAAGGTTGCTGTAAGCCGAATGGGGAAGAACACAAATCTTTCGAGATAGATAACTTAGTAGAGCAGTGGCCACATCAATAGTTTTTCTTCTTTAAGTTACGTGCGGCGCTCACACAAAGCGAGGGATCGTAATCTCTGTTCGATTACGCGATGATCGGCTTCAGCGCGAATCGACGTGGAGGTCGCCTCCCGTCCTTCATTCTGATCGTGTTATTGGTGATAATCGTCATTCTGTCGTTTAACTACTGGAGTGTGTCCACTAAACACGGGCGGCTGCTGGACGAGGTGGCCGAGATGCAGACGCAGGTGAAGCGCACGGACGCGGCGCGCTCGCGCCTGGAGAAGAGAAACTCCGAGCTGATGATGCAGGTGGACACGCACCGGAAACAGATCGATCAGAAGGACGGAGACTACAGCGTGCTGGAGAGCAAACTACAGGCCAGGGATGCGCTGGTCAAAGTCTGCACCGATGAAAAGGTGGGTGAGAGAAAATGACCACGAGGGTTTCCTTTATACACATATACAGTGGGTTGGCTATAGAAAAGAATCACCCCCTTCAAAATAATCATATTTTGTTGCTTTGCAGCCTGAAATTAAGACATACACAGTTTTTGTTTTATCCAGCTGTATTTACTCAGTGCAACATATAACATCCAAATGAAAGATATAACACCAACATGTCAGAAAAAAAAATAGTATTTTGTTGAACCACCTTTTGCTTTAATTACAGCCTTTAGTCTGCTGGGATATTTCTCTGTCTCTACTAGCTTTGCACATCTAGACTTTGCAATATTTGCCCACTTTTCTTTGCAGAACTGCTCAAGTTCAGTTAAATTTGATGGTAAGCGTTTGTGGACTGCAGTCTTCAAGTCATTCCACAGATTTTCAGTGGGGTTCTGGGCTCTGACTGGGCCATGCAAGGACATTCACTTTTTTCTCCTTCAACCACTGTGTGTTTTGGGTCATTGTCATGTTGGAAGGTAAACCTTCTCATTGATAACTTTCTGGCAGAGGGCAGCAGATTTTCCTCAAGAATTTGACAGTATTTTGCCCCATCCATTTTTCCTTCTATCCTGATAAGTGCTTCAGTCCCTGCTGCAGAGAAACACCCCCATAACAGGATATGACCACCTCCATGCTTTACTGGAGGAATGCTGTTATTTGGATGGTGAGCTGTAGTGGATTTCTGCCAGACATATCGTTTGGTGTTGAGGCCAAATAATTCAGTTTTGGTCTCATGTGGCCTCAGAATCTTTAAGGTGCGTTTTGGCTGTGTGCCATGGAGAAGGTGATTAGCTACACCTTGCTATAAAATATAACATTCCGTGTAGAATTCAAATAGCTCCGATACATTTTGTGGTCTGTGCCGACTCGCGCATGTGATCCGCTCCGTGCTATTGTCTCTCTGGACCGGAGCAGAGTGTGTGCGCGGTGCGGTGGTTAGCGTGACACAGCGCGAAAGCAGACTTCTTTTTTTCCTCAACGGAAAGCATATTTACACCGTTTAAATCGTTCCCTGTCCCCTATATAGTGCACTACGTGCCATTTGGAGCACACTGCCTTTATAGATAACCTTAAAACTAACATATTGATACTAACAGCTAACACCCAAAAAAACTTTATTTAAAAACTTTGATTTCATGGGGACTTTAAATACAGATCTCCCGCGGGTCCTTAAAAACTCCTAAAGTGAGTTGTATCAAACTTAAGGCCATAAAAAGTTTTAAATACGTTAAATGGTATAAGAAATGTCTTAATTATAATTTCAAGAGGTCTTACAGTTGAGGACGGAAAGACAAGAGTGGCGATACGGCTGGATTAAACTTCAAAAGGCAATGATGTCATTGAATAAATATGAGCGCTGCACGTTTCAAGTCAAAATGCGGCGTGGATGTCTTTATTTGAATGTATCTGAAGGGAACCGACTGTCCTCAGAAACGTGTCATTGGCATTTTAATTTCATTTTACCTATAATTCCTGATAAAGCAGCGTTTATGAGCCGTTACCGGGGAAACCACAATATTTTAGCGCTCCTAAAGTGCCACCTCGTGGCAGAGAATGAATTTGCATTTCCAACAAGTCTTTCTTGCCATTTATGGTCAGATCAATACAAATATCAACTCGTTTTTACGCAGCAAACACATCGAGTTGTAAATGAGAAAAAAGTTAATGTGCCTTCTAAAAATCTAAACAATTAAGACCGTAATATTTATACGTTTTAAATTAACATAATTTATATGCTTGATTTATCCCTTTTCATAAAATGGTCTAAAAGCTGAAATGCTGTTGTATAAGATTTTTGTTTTTGTGAAAACCTGTATCTGAACTGTAAATCATGTAATTTTATGGCTCAATACTGTATGTTACCATAGACATTGTCCAACCCCACTCATACGGTGTTCATTTTACTTGTGCAGCTCTTAAAATGGGTCATAAATTGCCTTAAATTTATTTTTAAAAAATTCTGCAGATACCCTGTAAATAGTGAAATAAAATTCCTTCCTTCATATTTGTTGATATTTGTGTATTGAAAATATTTTTGTTTGACATTTAAACTCCTAACTGATTTTCTATATTTAAAAAAAAAAAGGTATTTTTTTTATTTGGGCTAGTTAAATTAATTTTCGTGCTACCAAAATCTGAAGAGTACCTGCCCGAAGGGCTACCAGGGATTTTGAAATTTTGCGAGCCCTGCTGTTATCTTGTCCCACACATACACAGTGCATTTAAAAGGTGATTACATACGTTTTCTAAAGAAGTAGGCAGTTTGCTGATATTAACTGATATGTTCTCTTTGTGCCTGTTCTACTAGTTGTGCCTGCAGATCAGTTTTTCTTTTGTGTGATGTTCATTCAGCAGGTTGCATCACAGACGGCAGCACTGACTTTTCCCATGTAAATTCTGTCCACAGATTTTTACAATTGTAAAGGGAAATTAATGAAATCTTAAAATCATGTATGTATATGTATGTGTGTGTGTGTGTGTAATAATACGGGTATACACCTTTAAGATGTTTTGTTTGTGTTAAGTTGGTCTTTGTGAGTAATGATATTATCCCACGCACCATTAACATCAGTACACTAAAAATGTGAGCTGACAGGACAGAGAGCATCCTGCCATGGTGCTCTTTATGGATTCAAGCCGTGGGGTTCCCTGTGGTTGTGTGACACAACTGAGAGCTCATGGTCTGGGCCCATCTGTGTGCCCAGGGCTGTGAGAGCCCCCCACACTCCTTCACATCTCCAGGTCTTCCTACACTGCCCTCTATCTCTCTCTTTCTTTTTTTGATATTATATCAACATAATTGTTGGGAGACTGTCGTTAATAGGGCTAGAAGTCAAATACCATTCATGTTTGCTTATTTTTTTAATAACATT